GAGGTCATACTGCCTCCGTCATCAGGGCAATGAATATCATCAACCCAGAAGACGGAAATCTTCATACTCACCGCTGTGAGAACCTCAAGTCTTACAAATATACTCAGATGATCACCAACAATTTTATTCACTGACAGTGTCAACCATTAACAGAAGAAGAATGTATAGCGTTATTTATGAAGTTGACAAGGGAAATCCATCGGAAATAGTCAGTTCTATCAGAAGTTTTGGAAACGGGAACAACAATTTCTTTTTTATTACTCTGACAATTCTTCCGTATTCCAAACACAGACTGCAAGGTTTGTGTATCTGAGTACACTGTACTACTTTTTTATTTTTAACAAAGAAAACGGAATTGATTCGTTGCTATGGCAACCTTCAGGCTTACAATTTCCAATATGTATCAAGAAAATACATTCCTCTTCAGAACTCGTATGCATTATGTTATATTTAACTCAAATAACGTAAGGAATCGTAATGCTTAAAAAATTCATATTACATTTACCAGAGAACTCAACGGAAGTGACCGAGTACAAATGAAGGTATCCTTTTATCGATTTATGATCTTTTTGGAAGTAAACAGGTTTTTAAGGTCTCTGTGTGTAATTCAGTTCCACTTTTAAATTGACGTAAAAAAGTATTAAAACGTTAACCATATCTTGATATCTCATCACAACGAAATACCGTGAAGGCGCCAAGCCAGTATACAGATTCCGGGGACCAAGATTAACCCTTTACATCTTCTTAGCTTAGTAGCAGAGGACTGTACTGACTTTTCAACAAAACTTATGACTCTACTTTTGTGAACTATAATATTTTATTCGTGTTCGTCTACTGAAATTTGGGCGATATTTGTTGTAATTCAAGAGGACCGGAGGCAAATGAACACATTGTAGTTCCACTCCGTTAGTCCCTTGTATTTTTGTTGCCAGCTGCGTTTTGAATCTTTTCATATAGGGAGATTTTGTAACGCAAACCTAAGCACCTCCTGAAAGTTCTTAAAGTCGGCTCAAATGTCCGGAGAAATATCGGTATCTGGTTTATAAAAGCTGATTGCGTTCATCTAGATGTTGTCAGATGTGTAACGCTGTTCTGTACCGCGTTCCTGAAACTAATGTTGTTCGCTATCTGCTAGCTGCAAGCTCTGTTCTGCGGTTAGCCACATCGTTATCTTAAGTGAGTTGTTTCAAATTATCACAAAAGAGAGAATCGTGGCAAGAAACTTGCTCGCATTAGGAGACAAAAGGTTTCTTAGATAGAATAAATTATGTATGTCTGTCCTACTTGCGTCAGAGGTCTCAGAGAATGTATTCTACTACATGATGTTACACTTAAATTCCTTAGTTTCTGGTGTCACCGTTTTGCCGGAAATCTTAAGACAGAGGATCACTGAGTGGTACTACCTTACACCATTAGGTTGCAAGGCAGAGAAGCAGATAATCTACTCGATGTCTACTCTGCGTAATTCCCGAACTTACGATCTTTGCTGAAATCAACTGTGCGAAATAATACATTGTTTCTTTCGTCATTAAATTTTAATGTTTGGGAATTCAGTGTGTTACTTAAATGACAAGCTTCTTAACATTATCAACCTCTTAACTGTAATTAGAAACGACGTTTAGGAGACTGGAATCTGTTACCGTTCAGAGGCAAAACGTACTAGTGAATATGAATCGGGGGTGTAAACCACTCAAATACTACATTTCTGGAAATTTAGGTATCTACTTCTTAATTATTGTTATTATAAATGTTTCATATTTCTTGCAATTATATGCTTTGGTGCAACGGTTTCTCCTTCTGTGGTGTTTGTAACTAAAAGGTATTGACAACGTATAGTGCGTAAAATTGTTTATTTTAACAAATAAACGAATAATAAA